AGAAGAGACTGGACAGCCGTTTGTCTGAAATGGTGTAGGGTTCCTGCCTGGGCAGGGGGTTGGACTCGATGACCTCCAAGGTCCCTTCCAACTTTATTATTATTATTATTATTATTATTATTATTATTATTATTATTATTATTATTATTATTATTATTATTATTATTATTATTATTATTATTATTATTATTATTATTTCTATTTCTATTATTTCTATTCTATCCTTCAGTCAAGCGGTGCCATCGCTCAGGATCAAAGGGCAGATGCTGCCCTCTGGAATGAGCTTCTGCTGAGACTGGGTGGCATTCTGCTGGGCGTCTTCTGCCAGCCTTTGGACCAGAGCGAATGGAGCCATTGAAGGGGTGTAAGATGTGTGTTGCTAACCAGATGCTAACCATCTTCTTTATGGCACGTTTGTTGTGTCGCTTTGTGCTGTAAGCCTCGTAGACCCAACTGAAGCCCAGTGGCATCTAAGACAAATAAAATAATAACCAAGTATTCAGGAGTGTATTTGTATTTAAACCTTTATTTGCAACCAGGGGTTTTAACAAAATCCGCAGAAAACGACAGCCATTCTTATCAGTTCAGTGCATCCCCCCTCAATTTAACCACATCCCTCTTTGCCAGGATGTGCTTGTGCCTCTCCCTCGGGGCCATTGCAAGCAAGGCAACTGATAAGAAGGGTTTATTTCTGCATTTATTTGTTCATTTATGTAGCAAACGACTCTGGGCAGCGAACAGAATTAATCTTGAACAAAAAGAATAACCAATGATAAAAATTAAAATACAAGCAACCGAGAAACAAAAACCCACATCACCACCAGAACGAAGAGGTGGCTCCTTGCAGACTCTCGGGCCCCCGGCCTGGAACCAGGTCTTCAGGGCCTTACGAAGGTCCGCTGGCTTGGGGGCACTAATTTCTAGTCCAGCCCCCTGCTCAAGCAGGAGGACCTATATAGCATCTCAGACAAGTGACTGTCTGGCCTCTTCTTAAAAACCTTCAATCATGGAGCACCCACAACTCCTGGTGGCAAGCGGTTCCACTGGTTAATTGTCCATCCAAAGTTTATTCAATTAGGGAAGATTATAACATATAAAAAGGTACTAGACGAGAAAGGGGGAATTGAAATCCAGGAAAATTCTTCAAGACGAAGGGATAGAATTAGAATGGTGGGCATACCTTCAATTACAGGCGAGATATTGGAAAGGCAAAAAAGAACTAGGCATAAAAATAGAATGGATAGGGTTGGATAAAATATTATTAGGTACTGAGGATAAAATGATTAAAAAGTCATATCATTATTTGTTAGATCAGGCAATGTACGAAGAACAGCTAAAAGAAACCATGTTAATGTGGAGAAGGGACTTTGATCTCAACTTTGATCTGCATATCTGGCAAAGAACCATGGGTACAAAATAGGAAGCTCACCCTGGCCACATCCTACAAAGAAAACCTTTACAAAATGTTTTATAGATGGCATCTCTCACCCACAAGGTTAGCTAAAATGGGCCCAAATATTTCTCCTACGTGCTGGAAATGTAAATTGGCAAGAGGGACATATTTGTCCCAGATTTCAAAATAGTCCGTTTCTGTCTTGTACTTTAATTCCATAGTAAGCCTATCCATATCAGCACACGATAAGATTTTGTATAAAATCTCTTCTTCTGTTGGAATGTTCTGTTGGAGCATATGCCACAAAGAAGAGGGAGTCAAGCTCTTCTCCAAAGCGCCTGAAGGCAGGACAAGAAGCAACGGATGGAAACTAATCAAGGAGAGAAGCAACCTAGAACTAAGGAGAAACTTCCTGACAGTGAGAACAATTAACCAGTGGAACCACCTGCCTCCAGAAGCGGTGAATGCTCCAACACTGGAAGTTTTTAAGAAGAGACTGGACAGCCATTTGTCTGAAAGGGTATAGGGTTTCCTGCCTGAGCAAGGGGTTGGACTAGATGACCTCCAAGGTCCCTTCCAACTTTATTATTATTATTATTATTATTATTATTATTATTATTATTATTATTATTATTATTATTATTGTTATTGTTATTATTATTATTGTTATCATCATCATCATCATCATCATCATCATCATCATCATCATATGTGGTGGGAGTGCTCAAAAGCCCGTGACTTTTGGAACAATGTTAAAAAATGGCTGGAAGAAATACTAATGACAGAGGTAGAGCTAAAAGCAGAACTCTTCTTACTAGGTATCATCATGCAGAAATACGATAAAGGGGCACTCTACTTGATGTTACCTATTTTCACGGCTGCCAGATTGGCCTACGCCCAAAACTGGAGGAACAAAGAAATTCCACCAGAAGAAGAGATTTTATACAAAATCTTATCGTGTGCTGATATGGAGAGGCTCACTATGGAATTAAAGGACAAGATAGAAACGGACTATTTTGAAATCTGGGACAAATTGTATTGCTGGCACGAGTCAAGGAGAATTGTTTGGGTTTTAAGTTAGTGTTAAGATTGTGGAATATAAAACTGTATGCTAGTATATAGAGAAACAAATTTGAGACTGTATTATATAGGAAAATATGTAGATATAGAGATTAGGAATTATATGTATGACAAGGAACAAATTGTTAGGAGTATATATACTGGAACGTCACGTTATGTCCTTTTTTGTTTTAACTATTTTATTAATAAAAAAAATTTTTTTAAAGAAAAATATTCCTCTCTTGATGTTAACCTCTCCCAGACTCTCACCATTGATCTGCAACTGTGTCTTCCATTGTGCCATCGATGTTTGCACAAATTTTCTAATGTTTCTACTGACTCCTATAATAATAATAATAATAATAATAATAATAATAATAATAATAATAATAATAATAATAATTATTATTATTATTATTATTATTATTATTATTATTATTATTATTATTATTATTATTATTATTATTATTATTACCCCATTCTGTGCGATTGGCTAAACGGGCCAGCCTCTCCTCCACCCGCTGAACCATTCATGAAGAGCTGGAAGGGCGGAGGACCCGAGGCGAACCCCTGGCCCCTGCCGGGTCTCCGTGGAGGGGTGTCCGTGGAGGGCCCCTGGGGGGTCAGCCAGCCATGGGCCCTCCTCATGCCTTGTTTGGAAACGCCCCCCCCATTCCAAGACCAGGGATGGGAGGTCCAAGAACTCAGAGCCCCTCGGTCTCGCTCGCTTGAGCTGAAGTTGCTGCAGCCCCCCCAGCCCCCCCCTCAGGCGCTGAGACACAACCGCCACCCGGGCCGTCTGCGGTGGAGATAAAACCTGGATATCATCAGCCTATTGGTATTATCTCACTCCAAGCAGTCCGGCATGCTGCCCGGTGCATTCTGGGAGTTGAAGTCCTCCCATCTTATAGTCCCTGAGGGTGAGCCACGCTGTTCTAGGGCGTTTTCTATTCCAGCTAAAAAGGTCCAGGGGTGTCTGCAAGGAGGGGGTCAAAAAAGATCAAAATGGCAACGGAAACCATGCCATGGTAGCCTTTTTTAAAAAAAATTAAATCTGACTTTTCTGACAGAAAACTTTTTCCTTTTTATTTTATTTACTTATGTTTTTAATATTGTAGTTCTGGGGATTAGTGTTTTATCTGGTTGTTAGCCGCCCTGAGTCCGCAAGGAGAAGGGCGGGATATAAATTAAATTAATAATAATAATAATAATAATAATAATTGGAGCGTTGAGACCATTAACATTAATGGATATGGATTAAACACCTTTTTCCCCCTCCTTATCTATGTTTAGATCTAGTTATTATTGTCGGCCTAGACCAGGGGTAGGCAACCTTGGCTCTTTTATGACTCTGGTGGGTAGATGGATGGATGGATGGATGGATGGGTGGGTGGGTGGGTGGGTGCTATCTTAAAATAAATTTCCTGACCTTCCAGGGTGATGCAAGTCAAGACTTTGTGCAAAATGCTCCTTCACAGCATCCGGGAGCCTCCCTGGCCCCACAGCTTTGTGGTCACGCCCTGGTGGGGGAGCCCCCCACGTGTTTCCCACAGTTGCAGCTGCCACTTCCTATAAAGAGGCATCTGGAAGCCGAGCGGCGTTGGGCGCCCAGTGCCGATACCCCCGAGATAAGACTGGAGCTGCTCTCCCTCCCATCTCTGAAGATGAAGACCCTCTTCGCCTTTCTGTTCCTGGTGGTCTCCATCACCCTGGCTGTGGAGGGTCTCAGTGAGTCTCTGATCCGCTTGGCTTTCTCCAGCCCCCCCTCTCTTGCAACCCTCCGGAGGGCCCCGGCGATTGTCTAGAGGGCTTCCTTCTAGCAGGGGCACCTCAGTTCTCAGCCATGGGGGAAGGGGGGGAATTGGGGGAGTCACAATGCCCCCCCATCTCTCTCTTTCAGGTGCAATCCCTGCGGTCCAGCCCGACTACAAGAATGGTAAGTCTCTCTTTCCTCCCCTTTTCAGCGTAACAAAACCTCCCCCAATCTGGCTACTGACCCTGAGCGACGCCCTGTGGCCCTAGCCCAGCCCCTTCCTCTGGGGAGAGCCCTGGGGGTCTTCTGCCCCACTGCGATGTCTTTGGGCCGGACCAGGGTGGAGACGGGCAGTTAAAGACAGGGTCCCCCATCCTTCCCAAGATGGTCCTTGGGGGGGGTGTTAGAGAGAGGGCAGGCACCCCTCTCCCCATAAGAGGAGCCATGTAATGGGGCACAGCTGGGGACCCCCAGGACCCCAGGCCAGCTTTGAGGAAGGCTCTGAGCTGAACAGCATCCTTGCTCAGGGCAGGGGAGGTCTCCAGCTGGGAGGCTCATCCAGACCTGGTGTGGTCAGTCCGATCCACACATGAAAACAAGTCGTGTGGAGTCCACAAGGGAGACCTTTCCTGTGGGGTCTGTGGAGACCCTCTGCCCCTTTTTGTAACACAGAAAACAGAGTCGTTGCACTGGAAGGGACCTTGGAGGTCTTCTAGTCCAGCCCCCTGTTCAAGTAGGAGACATTACCTATACCACTTCAGACAAGTGGTTGTCCAGTCTCTTCTTCAAAGCCTCCACAACGTCTGAAGGCAACTTCTGTTCCCCCAGTTAATTGTCCTCACTGTCAGGAAGTTTCTCCTTAGTTCTAGGTTGCTTCTCTCCTTGGTTAGTTTCCATCCGTTGCTTCTTGTCCTGCCTTCAGGCGCTTTGGAGAATAAGGTGACCCCCTCTTCTCTGTGGCAGCCCCACAAATACTGCAACGCTGATGTCATGTGCCCCCTACTTTTCTCTAGACTGGCCATACTCAAATCCTGGAGCCATTCCTCACATATATTTTATCCTCCAGCCCCTTAATCGTCTTTGTTGCTCTTGTGCTGTAAATCTTACACCGGAGAGTTTCCTGCCCACCCCAGGACAGGGAGGGGGGGGGGGAAGAGAGCTTCTCCACCCCATGGTGTGGCATCCATCACTCCTTCTCTGTTTCCCTCCCCAGTGGATGTTGGGCCCACCTATTGCTGCTTTGACTTCGTGACACGTCCCATCCCGCTGAGCCTGTTGAAATCTTTTGAATACACCAACGGCAGATGCAGCCAGCCGGGCGTCGTGTAAGTTTCCCAGAATGGCTGTTGAGGGTCTTCTGGGCTCAGCCTTGCAAGAGGTTCAGGAGACCCTCTAAGCTTCCTTCTCACCAAATTGCTCACTAAGTAGGTCTCAGTCTTGGGCGTTTTAAGAGGGGTGGACTTCAACTCCCAGAATTCCCCAGTCAGCTTGGCCCAAGGTGGAGACACACTGGGCTAAACCGTAGTCTTGATTAAGACACTGGTTGGTTTATTTTCTATTGCTTGTGTTTGCATTATATTGAATTCCAGCATGACGTGGTCACTCTCGCCCAAGGCTCTTCCAATTTCAACTCCCTCTATCACTTCTTCCCTACTACTAAGAATTAGGTCCAGTGTGGCTTTACGTCTAGTTCCCTCCTCCACCTTTTGGGTGACAAAGTTGTTGGCTCGGTTGGTTAGGAATCTGTTTGTTGAAGTCTCCCATTACTACTGTGGTGTGTTTCCTACATATCATTGTTAATTGATTAGCAAAGAGTCCATCTATTTCTTCTGCTTCGTTGGGTGACCTGTAGCATACACCTATGGCAATGTCACTTTTGTTTTCTTTTATACTGACCCATATACATTCTGGAGACATTCTGTCTTGGGTCATGTGCATTTCTGCAGATATGCGGTGTTCCCTTACATGTAGTTACATTACATGACATGCAGACATTTCCTTTGCAGATTCGTCACAAAAAGAGGCATAAAGACCTGTGCCGATCCGTCAGAAAAATGGGTCCAGGATCGCATCCATGACCTCACCCCGCCTTGAACAGCCTCCGTGCAAGCAGAGAGCATGTCTCCCCCATCGACAGAGGCCCATAACCAGTTTTGACCAAAGGAGAAACCATTATTAAAGGGAGTACTGTTTGCTGAAGCATGTGCAGAGTGCCTTCTGTTTATTGCCACCCATTGGAATTAGGCTTGCAAGGGGGAGGGGGGGCGTAATCTGGTTTGAGGAAGCTCCAAAGCCTGAATTTTGTGGAAGTAGCAAAGTCAGCCCACCGGATCGCAAGGGGGAGCATCACAGCAGCCCCTGCCCACCTCATGCCCAGAGAAGGGGGGAGGAGGGAGGGAGGGGTTGCATCCCCCATCTCTGAAAAGCCCTCCCTAGCTGGGGAGGAGCAAGGAAGCAAAAGGCTGGACTAGAGGACCTCTAAGGCCCCTTCCGACTTTGTTATTCTATGTTCTGGTTTATTTTGGGAAAAGGGGTTGTGGCTGGTTGGGGACCAATGCAGAATCGTTTTCGTACGCAAAGAAATCCCACTTTAAAGTATGAAGATTAGTGATACATTTAAAGGGACAATAAAGTTATTATTCTATCCGGTTCTTCTACTCTGTTCTCCGCCTCGGCAACTTGAAGCGGTGCGGACTTCAACTCCCAGAATTCCACAGCCCGCAAAGGCTCCTGGGAGTCGAAGTCCACTCTTTTTCCAGTTGCCCAGGTGGAGAAACCGGGGCCCAGGGGCTCCCCTCCCGCCTCTCCACTGGGGGGGGCTCCTTTCCCTTCCGCTCCTCCCCTGGGGTCTCCTTCCAAAGAGGACCCCGGAGGTCACGTGATTATACTGGGGGGGGTCCTGTGGACAGGTGGGGGGGGCAACAGGGGTTTCTCTTTGGCTAGTAAGTCGAAGACCCCTCGGCAGAATTTCCGCCTTCTCGCTTGAAGGGGGCCTTGTCGTATGAGAAAGGAGGGGGGGCAACCAGGAAAACTTGGAATATCTGCATCCACACACCCCACCCCCACCCCCCTCCTCCAGGCCACCAGTGAAATTCAGCAGGCTGGGCTGGGTTTTAGGGTCTCTTCAGAATGAGAAGGGGCCCTGGGAACCAGGGGGTGGGGGTGGGGTCGAGGGGGGGCGCTCCAGAAGGCGGATAGCAGACCCTGCCCCCACCCTTACCCTGGGAGGCCCCGAATCAGACTGGCTTCCTGGGGGATTCTGGGAGTTGAAGTCCAGAGTACTGAAGTTGCCTTGCCCCAACCCCACGAGTGGTGCGTTTAGTGGGGCGAAGTTGGAAGGGACCTTGGAGGTCATCTAGTTCAACCCCCTGCTCAGGCAGGAAACCCTATACCAGATACCAAATGGCTGTCCAGTTTCTTCTTAAAAACTTCCAGTGTTGGAGCATTCGCCGCTTCTGGAGGCAGGTGGTTCCACTGGTTAATTGTTCTCACTGTCAGGAAGTTTCTCCTTAGTTCCAGGTTGCTTCTCTCCTTGGTTAGTTTCCACCCGTTGCTTCTTGTCCTGCCCTCAGGCGCTTTGGAGAATCGCTTGACTCCCTCTTCTTTGGGGCAGCCCCTGAGATACTGGAACGCTGCTATCCTGTCCCCCCTCGTCCTTCTCTTCGTTAAACTAGACAGACCCAATTCCAGCAACCGTTCCTTATATGCTTTAGCCTCCAGTCCCCTAATCATCTCTGTTGCTCTTCTCGGCACTCTTTCTAGAGCAGTGGTGGCGAATCCATGGCACGGGTGCCAGAGGTGGCACTCAGAGCCCTCTCTGTGGGCACTTGCGCTGTTGCCCCAGTCCTAGGCCTTCAGCTTGTTTTTTATAAAACCTTTTCGCTTTAGGCCTCCGCTGCCATGTGCAAAAAAAAAAAAGGTTCAATCAATCAATTTAAACTTCTCACGGGGAAAAAAAAGACCTTGCAAAGTTGGAATTGATTGATTGAACTTTTTAGTCCCACCCAGTCTGCGATTACCACTGCAGCCATGGCCACCCAATGGGCCACGCCCACCCAATTGGCCACACCCAGCCAATGGGCCACACCCACTCGGCACCCGACGATGCATAAATTGGTTTTGGGTTGCAGTTTGGGCACTCAGTCTCTAAAAGGTTCGCCATCACTGTTCTAGAGCCTCAACATCGTTTTTATATCGTGGTGACCAAAACCGGATGCCGTATTCCAAGTGTGGCCTTACCAAGGGATTGTAAAGTGGTATTAATACTTCATGTGATCTTGATTCTCTCCCTCTGTTCATGCAGCCCAGCACTGTGTTGGCCTTTTTGGCAGCTGCAGCACACGGCTGGCTCCTATTTAAGGGATTGTCCACTAGGACTCCGAGGTTCCTCTCACAGTTACTACTATTGAGCAAGGTACCCCCTATACTATACCTGTACATTTGGTTTTTCTTGCCTAAATGTAGAACCTTGCTTTTTTCACCATTGAATATTGTAAGTTTTTCTGGTTGCCCCCCCTCCTTTCTCAGACGACAAGGCCCCCTTCAAGGGAGAAGGCGGAAATTCTGTGGAGGGGTCTTCGACTTACTAGCCCAAAATAAACCGCTTTTGCCCCTCCCCCACCTGTCCACAGGACCCCCCCAGTGTAACCACGTGACCTCCGGGGTCCTCTGTGGAAGGAGACCCCGGGGGAGGAGCGGAAGGGAAAGGAGCCCCCCCCCAGTGGAGAGGCGGGAGGGGAGCCCCTGGGCCCCAGTTTCTCCACCTGGGCGACTGGAAAAAGAGTGGACTTCGACTCCCAGGAGCCTTTGTGGGCTGTGGAATTCTGGGAGTTGAAGTCCGCACTGCTTCAAGTTGCCGAGGCGGAGAACAGAATAGAAGAACCGGATAGAATAATAACTTTATTGTCCCTTTAAATGTATCACTAATCTTCATACTTTAAAGTGGGATTTCTTTGCGTACGAAAACGATTCTGCATTGGTCCCCAACCAGCCACAACCCCTTTTCCCAAAATAAACCATAACATAGAATAACAAAGTCGGAAGGGGCCTTAGAGGTCCTCTAGTCCAGCCCTTTGCTTCCTTGCTCCTCCATGAGGTGGGCAGGGGCTGCTGTGATGCTCCCCCTTGTGATCCGGTG